ACTAAAGTAGTAATATTTATTTAACTATTTCAAAGAAATTTGATCACAAAAAGTACAGTATAATTTTTTCTGATTTCCAATCTACGTAGTTTTATAACGCTGTATGTCTGTATGATGAGTATTTTGAATTGTTTTTATTATTTATTATTTTTATTTTTTTTCCTCTACCAATAATTATTAAATCTTAATATATTGTTTTATATTATAAACTATCACACCATGATTAAAAAAAAAAAAAAAAATTATAGATCGATAAATAATTAAAATAATAATTTATTCAATAATGTCTGTGCTACAATTAAAAGTTAATAATTTTACGGAAATAAAAATTATAAGCAAGTATATTCAAAAATAAATCAGAGGTCAAAATATTAAAAATAATAATTGGCCCATGTTCTTGAATGCTACGTTAGCCCTCCCCCCTCACAATTCTTATAAAACTTGCCATTTTAACGTGTTAAGCCTTCGTGTAAAACATAATATAATAAAATATTTAAATGAACTTCATAATATTATATTTGTTGTCGACAAGTCGTCGTCGTATTACCACATAAAATTTGCATATTAAATAACAAATATGTTGCGATGCTCATTACAACCATCAGTTGTATATAAAAATATAATTCGTTCGCATATACTCGTATGCACATTATTATTTATTATTATATGTAGATAACATAGAAGATACTTGTTTTTGGACACAGTCTCATTAAATTTAACTAAGTATCTACAATGCGGTTTTAAATTTCAATTTCTTATCTTTTATTATGTCATAATAACCAACTTTATCATGCACAATTAATTAAGACGAATGACGCAAAATTTACCTATGGATAAAGTATACGTATACATCATTTGCGTGGTAATTGTTTTGGAAAATTTACATTCAAAAGTATGTCAGCAAATCTTTTGTTTATTTGGTCTCCACAACACAGTAAATTAGAAAAAAATTTTCAAGCTTGAGCAAAATCAATCATCTAGTAGCATCAGCTTTCGAATTATCATATAATTAAACCTATAAAGTTAAAAATATTATTTATGTTTACGCGGCGTAAGTTATTTTTTTGATTTTTTAATTCTTTGCGATACATGAGTACTCTTAGATTTTAATATTTTATATGTCAATAACTTAAATAACTTGTATAAAAATTGAAATATCATTAAATATGGCAAATCTAAGCACGCAGATAATGTTATTAACTAGTTTTTTTTTTTTTTTTTTTTTTTTTTTTATTGATCTAAAACACATCGACAGCTAGGCCATTAGTACAAGAATTTTTTTGATTACATTGTTGGTATTTTAAGTATTTACATTTTTACATTAAATTAAATTATACAATTCAATTTTTTTTAAAAATAAAATTAAGTTTTTAATGTCCTGTAGGTTTGGTCCAAGTGCTTGACAGATTTGTTCGGAGATGTGGAATTGGTTTCGATATTGGTTGTATTTATGACATTCGGTGATGATGTGGTTGACGGTTAAAGGAACGCTACATGAGTCGCATAGTGGAGGATCATCTTTACTCATCAAGTAGCTGTGTGTTAAGTGTGTGTGTCCAATTCGGAGGCGGTTTATTATGGTTTCTTCTTTTCTATTGAGGCCGGGATTTTTCCATAGGTTTATATTATTTTTTATTTTGTTGAGTTTTGTGTTAAGTTTTCGCCAGTGAGAGTACCATTTATTATTTGAGTGTAGGTTAATTTCGTTCTTTGCGTCTGAGAATGTGATGGAATTTATGGTTACAGTTGATGTAGAGACGATTGCATTGTGAGCTTCTTGGTCAGCCATTTCATTTCCGGGAATACCTATGTGTCCCGGAATCCATACAAAATGGATGTGTTTATTTTTTTTTCTGCTAGGAAGGTTTCTTCTTGGATGAGCTTTGTGATATCAGGTTGGTTACGTGTATTTGTGATGGCGATTAAGTTGCTGAGTGAGTCGCTAAGTATTATAAATTTTGTTTGGTGGTTAGCATATTCTGTGTGGAGATATTTTACGGCTTTGTATATTGCCATCGCTTCTGCTGTAAATATAGAGGCTTGAGGTGGAAGTTTGTATGTTATTTTTTGATTGTTTATTATCATAGTCAATCTACAAAAATCTAGTTATTGATAAAGGAGCTTTACGTATTAAAAAACCAAATGTGTAAATAAAAAAGAAAATAGAAGCTCTTTTGGTCATGTGTAGCAAAAAGAAGGTTCGCTTACACATATGGCACATTGCAGTAATCTGGAAGGTAAAAATCAATAAGACGAACAAAGTTAAGGTGAGAAGATCGGTTTACAAAAGAAGTGGAAATAGTTGAATCGAACACAGATTGATGAATCTTAGCTATAGATAGGGAAAGATAACATGGCATATGTTTATAATTATGATCTAGATTCTAGAATCTAAAAGATCAACAACTTCAAAAAAAAGAAGATTAAATCAATAAAAACAATTTGAAAACAACTATAAAATATTACGTACAATCAAAAATTATTATTTCACAAAATTACACTAGCAAATATTTTCTAAAGATCCTTTAATCGTAATTTCTTGATCATATAGTTATTTATCATACATTGAATTTGTTTTAACGTTTTTATATTTTTACTTTATTTTTTATTATAAAAATATTATGACTTTTTTAAATATTGCAGTTATTAACTCATTAAATTTAATTTTAGCATTAATTCAAAAAAAATTTTTCCAAAATAGGCACAAGCTTGAAACTACACATACCATAGCGACTATATAGTCGACAATATGATAATAAGTATGATGAAATCAAATAAATATTTCAACTAAGAATTAACAAGTTAGAAGTTAGTGTAGAAATGATTTAATAATATATATTATATTTTTGAAAATTAAACACTTTCAAATAGAAACAGTAAAATACATATAATATAAGAAAAATAATATTCGTTCTTTTTACTAAAAATATATACTAATTATATAATTATTAATAATTATACCGTTCTATTATTTGTTATAATTTATTCAAAAATTATTAAACTGTAATAGTGATAATATATTTAAAGATAAATATTATATGATTGTAATACGATTATTTGCGTAAGCATTTTAAATATTTGTTAAATTATCTTTTGTTTCAATTGAAAATTTATAAACACGATATAATCAATAAAAGAAAATATTATTGTTTATTATTTAATTTCACATGCTTAGTAAACATACAAATCAAAATAACATGCATAGTAATACTATGTCAATAACGTACACATATAAATAATAAATAATATATAGTTACTATAGTCTATAATAATATTATATCAGTCTGAATAAAAAAATTATATTCATAATATAAAATTTAAATTCAATACATTTGCTAAAAAAAATAAAAGAAAAAAGTTACACGTATACGTATATAAGTCTGGATTTTAGTGGTCTTGAGAATGACATTTATATCGTAGTATATATCTTTGTACGTTCAGTGGGGTGAACAATTGGCTGGCAGCCAATGTGCAAGTACTTTGAACATCTTATCTGTAAAGGGAGATACGCCGTAACATTCGATCGAACGACTGCTGCTGTCAGTAACGAGTTAAATCGCATTTGGAAATTGTATGCAATTAAATAGGTTTTCAAATTGTTTAAACCGTTTTTATCTCTTCACCGTTATTACATTTTTAAATCGGTTGTGAACGACGATAATAATTTTTGATATATAATTTCTAGTTAAATTACCTGAAATATGTTTACATATTGAATTCGGTCTACACATTATATTATGCATTTTTTTCTAATATTATATAATACTATTTTGAATTATTTATGGACTTTTTTTTTGGTATTTAATTCAACTATTTAAATATGAAAATTAAAATAATATCAAACATATAATAGACTTTTTCTCCATTACCTGCGCATATTAATATATTTAGCAAAAACAATGATTTTTTTCAAAATATTTATAATAATCTTAAATTATTTGTACCACAAATTTATTTACACATATCTATAGTGGTACATTAGTATTGACTTAATTTACCTAATATAATCATCATTGGCTTACTATATAATTAGTAATAATAATACAAGATAATAATATAATATTATATACAATGTTTTTGGAAAAAAAATAGTTCAATAAGCTTTATTACTAATATAAAAATAAAGTACTTAGTACTTAGTTAAAAACCTCAGGATATACTCAGAATAGTTTTTTATATACAATGATTCATCATCATTGAATTAAAATTTTACACATTCATTATAATATAGTGACCTATTAGAGGACAAGATATATTTGAAATGTACTATATGGTAGATAAGTGACACTTCCCAAGTTATTTTTCAATTTTTATACCTAATTGAATGGATAAATAAAATAAATATAGGTACATGACATAATCACCAGCAGGTATAATATTAACTCTATTACACCGACTTTAAACTTTCCTGTATTGATAACATTTTGATTTATTCAGTATTATACACTTTATTAATATTTATTATTTTCAGACATTCAGTTAGATTTTTTAAATATAAATCTACTTATAAGCGCACGAATAAAATTTTTCAAATACAAACTATATACTTGAATTATTTTTCCTAGAAATATGTATTATAGTTTTTAAGAACATTTTTTTTTTATTAAGTACCTTGTTAATATCTATATCAGCATTTAAAAAATATTGTTACTTATTAAACATTAATCTATTATAAATGAATTTTGTAGATATATAAATACTCTTTTTGATTGAAAATGTCATATTATATTTTTATAGTTTATTGAAAAAAAATTAATAACACTTTTTTGAAGGGTTTTAAATTTGTTATGGACGTGATTTTGTTTTTTTATAAGTGACTTTTTTTTAACATGTGAATTTTTTATCAATTATGTATTCGTTTTATTATTTTACATCATCCTTTTTATTGAATATGAAACAATCAAATATATTATCCATATTTTCTTCACTCAATTCATAATATTTTAAATCAAATTACTCAATTTTTTTATTTTTTTTTTTTAGAAAATTTCATATTATATTTATTTTGATTTCCTTTCCATACAATCATTGTTTTTTATTTCAGCTGAAGTCACTGATCTACAAATTTCATCATTGCAGACTTCGTTTACTGCTAAATTTAACTTACATATAGAGGCGCATTGTTTTATATCGGAAGACAAAATTGTTTGTATATTTTCTAGTAACCCTTTAAAAGGACAAATGCATGGCTTATCTTCTTTTGTTTCTTGAATCCTAGTAAATAAAATTAGTTATAGCATAATTAAAATTATTATTTATATAAATTCACTATATAAAATTATAATTTTTCATTAGTTCTTAATTTTATCATTCGTATGTTAAAACAATAAAACGTATACAATTTAATACTAAAAATATATGTTATTAATCAAAATGTTGTATTTTAAACTATTACATTTTGTATAATGTAATCTCACATTACAATTTAAATCAATCAAAATGTGACAGTATATTATTATATAATATAAAAAATATCGTACCTTTGACAATCGAGAAGCTCTTTTATCTCAGGGTTAAGAACTTTATCTTCACATTTGCTTACACCACCATACATCATTCTTGGTGGAGATGGCATGATATTTTTATCAAAATAAAAGTCAAATGAATTGTTATCGTTGAATATGGGTTGTAGCTCCGGTTGATCTGATTTTAATACAATTTGATTGACTTGCATTGTTTCGGGTCCATGACACGTTAACTTCAAACGCACAAACATATCTCCTATAGACTGACTACCATCCATATTTTTCACTTCGTGTACGCTTTCGACAGTATGTGCATGTATATCGTATCCTTTTTCATAAAAATGGTAACTTATTGCACTTGTAAATCCCATTGAACTGCTGAGCATGATAGATACTGAACCCAATTTTATTCGATCGTCTTCAAGGTCCTCATAGATTATTAGTTCTAAAGGATTCCTACAATTAAATTATCTGTTTGTTAATTTGTTTACATATTTAATTTTTCAAAAAAAAAAACACTGTTATTAATATATGGAATATAAATATTGATTTAGCGACCATGCATTAGAAAAAAAGTAAATATAAATTTATTTCATTAAATATTTACATTAGCTGATTAAAAATCACAAATATGATAATATATTCTTTCGTATAACTTTTTCTATGATTAAGTGGAAATATTAGTCTCATAACATAAATTCAATAATTTTAAAAATGAGACAATTTTTGGATACACGATTGAAATAAAATATTTTCAAACATGGCATAGATTATTGACTTTTATTTATATTAGAAATTAAATGTAAACATATAAACATATTCAAAAAATTACACAATAATAATTGTTAAAAGATAATATTAGTCTCAATAGAAGTACAGAAAAGTAACAGAGTAACAATAATAACATAATATAGAGCATATAATAGCTATGATGCTACGTATAAATATATAAGTATATCTATAAAATATAGTGTTTCTTACTTTTGTAAAATTGTTACTAATGTTCTAGGTACACAGGCAAATATACATATTAACCCTAAACAAAATTAATATTAATTTAGTTGATATTATTGTTTAAAATTTAAATTATAAAGTAATAATTATCTAATATTCTAATGCATAAGTACTGAAGTATACTTATTACTACTAATTATTAATTTCAACAAACGATAAAATATGTCAAGTTAAACGAATTGATTTGAAAAATAAATTTTTCTATATCTTCAATGCTGTACCCTCACACTTTTATTTTAAAACATTTTATGACAATATAATGATGTACATAACATGTAACCTTCAAATAAATTGTAATTATGGTTCTATTTTATTAATAATAATAATAAAAAAAAAATGCAATACAATTAAAATACATTCAATTTTGATCTATATTTTACCTCTATTTATAGTAGTGGGCTTCGTAGAAATAACCACCTTGTCACTTTCTTTGTACATGATATCGAAACAAATATTTTGAACATTACAATTGGGCTTCATGTTAACATTATACCGTTCAGAAAGTTGTTTAACAATATTTTGAAGCGACTCATTTGATTTTAAATCATCGTAATATGTTAAGCATTGGTCTTCAGGATCTTCATTAACATTATCATAGTTAGATATATTGTATTCTATTATATTATCCAACATTGTCTTAATAGTATACTTTTGCTTAGATAATTCTTCTTGCTTCAAAACAATTGCACATAATTATAATTTGATAAATATATGTAATTTTAAATTTAAGACTTAGTATAATTTAATGTAAGCATAGATATTTTAATTGGTATCATAAATGTTTCAAATATTTATTATATTTTATACACATACATACTTTTATAGATGTTAAAATTAAAAAAAAAAAAATCATTACACATTTACCTAACCTAACCTTGTAATTACTCATAAATCTTAAAAACATATCAAAATCTAGAATTCAAATAATATTTAATGAAATACCTACTATATATTTTGATAATAATTGTTTTAAATGAAATAGCATTAAAAATACAATCATAATATTTTATCAAATAATCAAAGAAAATGTAAACTTTATCGTGTTTTAGATAAAAAAATAATTCTATCTTTGGTACCAAAAACAAAAACAAAATGTGATTTATGTATCTTAGTACTTAAATGTGGTAAAATAGTTTGATTTCACTTGTTTTTAAGTGAATAATTTTAATCTTCTAAAATTATAATTTATTTACTCGTACTTTTAATCCCGCTTTATCATTTGCATTGCAATTTTCTGACTCTTTAAATTTGAATTCTGTAAAATTAACTTGACCGATAAAAATTTCAAGCTCGTAACGGTCTATTCGATCACTCTCTAATATACTTATAGCCATTAAAAAATTAAAAAATAAATACAATTTAAAATTTAAGATTTATAATATATTCATATTTTAATATTATGTAACATTATTATTTGTAAATAAATATATTGTAGCCAGATAGCCAAAACACGGTTAATGTAAGTTTATTATATTGCTTAGGTGGAAGTACTAGACGAAGAACTCTGTATATGTCTATAACCTAATATAACTTTATTTATATGATAAATTTTGTCACCGTATTTAATTATAAATTAAATTAAAATATTTTAATATAATGTTTTTTCATGAAAGATAATTTTAATTTTTGTATATGTTATGCATATAAAATGATGTTATGTAATTTTAAACAAGTAAATATCTTAGAACCAAAAAGGTGTAAAGAATGAAACTCCACAAACTTTTCACGTTAGTGAAATTACCATTTCATTCAGATCTACAAAAAATAAAATAGCCCCAAATTTACTTTCCTTTAGAAGAAATCATAGTTCAGCTACTGATTTTATTAGTACAAAAAAAAACTTAAGTTATGAGAATTATTAATTTTGTTTGAAAAAAAACAACAGATATCAGTAGTTAATTATTGTATTATGATAATTTTTATGTAGATAGGACAGGTATATGTACTATACTGCTATACAACTAGTAACTACGTAAATAAATACCAACAATTTACTACTAAAGAAACAATATATAATATATTAATATCTTATTTAAAACTTAATTAAAAAAAAATTATTAAATATTTAATATTTTTTTTTTACTATTGTTTTGATTGAAGTCACAAAAAAGTTTGAAAAATTTTATTTAGATAAAACATATAATTAAAATAACTAAACTTTTTTATTACTAATTAACTTGCCTTTTTATTTTTATTGCTATTCCATTCTTTTAGAGAAAGAGTTGAGTTAATTAAATTAATTTTCTGATTAGAATAATTGTGTAAACTAAATGATTCAAATGATTCCATTTGGGTACAGAAATAATAGCTTTTACATGTATTAGATAAGTAAATTATCTAGAAAAAACTAACTAAAAGCTAGTAATAAAAATAAAATACATAGTTATCAAGATGTTTTTCGTTTTACCTTGTGGCTTATTAACCTTATTAAAAATATATTAGTATTGATTAACATTAGAAATAGTCATGTTATCTCCTCAACCATATAATGAAATTCTAAATAGGTGCTACCGACTATAAAAGTAGAAATTAAAATTACAGTGGAGGTTAAGTGATTACGTAGTCACTAGATTATTGAATTTTAAATTTTAAATACTCTAGTATGATTTTTTTTTTTTTTTTGATCTATATAGATTTGTATATATATACATATAAACTTAAATATCAAGATTTTTTTGTATTTTTCTATGTTAAAATAATTGAAAAACTTAGTTTAACTACAATTTTATTAACATAATATAATGTACTTAATACATAAATAAAAATTACTGATTAAGTTTTAAATATTTACGAAATAATAAAGATCCATATCGATTTCCAAAGACAATGATTTATTTTTGTTTTAAAATATAATGCTCATTACAGTTCATAAATCACAACACTATCCTGCATCAAAGTGGTTAAACTAAATACCGATTCTTAACTTCATAATTATTAACTTAAAAAATGCTTTAGGAGTCATGGAGATTTGAAAATTATAGTATTTATAGTAATTACTAATTAATATTAATCTATTTACATTGGACATTTTTTAATATCTTTCTGAGTATTATAATCAATATTACATATATTTTAAACTTGTGCAAAACCATTTTTAAAGAATAAGATCCTCAATACACATATTTTAATTATTAAAAAATTACTATTTTGAAATTTTAATTAGATAACTATGATAAAATTTTCAAACATTTTGTCGGTTTAACAATTAATTGTAAAAAAAGGCTAGTTTTTAGTTTAAAAAAAGAAGCTTATATTACCACAAAAAACTTCTAACATTATACTTTCAATGATAGAAAGTATCTAAAGAATAGAACTTAAAATGCATAAGATATTTAAGAATATATATGTAAAAGATCTTGTTGAGTATTTTCAGTGTATAAGTACTACAGGATGCATACAATATGTACAATACTTAAGTCTGTACATGCTGGCCACGTATCTATAATATTATAATATTTTTTTCTTTTACGTCCAGTACTTATATATTATTATAATATGAAATAATAAAATATTTTTCAGATGTAAAAAATAATAATTCTTTTTTATTATCATCTTGTGACGCTTATTTAGTCTAATATAGTGTGGTATTTCAATGAATGTCACCATTAAAATTAACTTAGTCAATAAAGTGTATAAAAACATTTTTTTCAAAATGATTATTTCTATTTTAAAAAGAATTTTTTATATTTATTCTATGAAAATGTAAACAGTTTAAAAATAAATAATCCATCACATTATCAATAAAATCTGCTAATGAAATGATTTGTCACACAATTTTAGCCCATTTTTCTTCATTTGGTGATAATCGAAAATATCATGTAGTCTAACCGTTATTTTATCATTCAACAAGTGCTAGCATATTTTATCTATTATCGACAAGTATACAGAGTTACAACTCGGATAGATAAAAACAGGTATTGATATAATATATAACAGCAATTATCATAGGTACTTGTATCAGCAGATGTTAACACTAACGGATATTATCAGGAACGAATAATGAAAATAACTATGTGGTGGTAATGACGACTGAAGTTGGTGCATAATTTTGAACATTTCATTTTTTATTTACTTTACAGAGCATTTTTTCCTAACAGTGATATTTATTGTAAAAAAACATCCTGTATATTGTCGTGATCTATAAAATGTATTACTTGTACCTAATGCACGCGGGTATGTGATAAACGGCCTCACAGCGTTCGGGTCGTCGACTATATAATAATATGTACGGTCACAGGGCGACGACTCGATCCTCCCTCCTTCTTCCATACAGATTCACATACCATCATGGCATCTTACAATAATATTATAATCGCCGTACAAAATAAAACCCATTTTCTGTGTACGTGCAAGTGGCTCAAGGTTTATAGATAATATCTACTCATATAAGCCTTGCGAGTTACAAATACTAGCGGCGACGAGCTCTATGAACTATATAACTGATATACGATAGTGAATGTACCTATATATACATTTTCCATAAAAAAAAAAATGAGAATAAATTTAAGGTTGTAATAATATCCGTTTTATTTATTTTTTTATCTTGACTAATACAAAGATTTAACTTTTTCCCGATATTCTGAAAATAATTTTTCTAAAATCTCATGAGTGCCGATATAAAAATCATTTTACGCATGTGTCTATAAACGATGGTGTCTTATTACTTGAGATCCAAAAGCTAACTTTTTATGTGCCGATTTTGGTATAATTCAAATAATTTTCTATATTTTACTTATCGAACCGAATATGGAATGAAACAACAGTGACTTTGTTAATCAACTTTTGAGCATGTTTTCAATACCGGCTTATGCATTTATATGATAATAGTAGTGGAGATATGAGTTACGGACTACACACTTGATTTTGAATCAAAATAGAAAATACAATGTATAAATTGTATACGTGAAAGTGTGTTTTTGGACTAGAAATACAATATCTATAGCCAAAGATACACGTACAATGTGATTGTAGACTATAATACATTTTTTTAAATCAGATCGTTTTCATCGAAATATATTATTTATTATTTACTATAATATAATACCATGCGACTACGAAATCATTTACAAGTGATGAGTGGTAGTGGTAGCGACGATCGAAACAGTACCTGATGTATTATAACAAAATGTTATGGCATGTTCAGCTGTACTTATGGCAAAAGGAGGGGACAAGGGTGTCATATTTCTCCCCTTAAGATTATTTTTGTCTAGATTTCTCATGATTTATTGTTAAATTAAATATTTTCAAAATTTTTTTTTTCAGTGTAATTTTTACTTTTCCTATGTGTCAGGTTGATTGATAACAATAAAATAAACGATTAGGTAATGAAAGCATATTTACTACATGGTGGGGTGATATATGAAGTAGTACTGATAATTAATAACATATATACCTAGCATAAAAATTCCCTGTAAACAAAACTAGTAATCATATATTATTAAATTAATTAGCATCTATAGATAAATTTAAATATAATATACTTGTATAGTTATATGTTTATATATATTATGTTGCTATAACATTATCTGAGAATTGTCAAAACTGTACAAACTCCCCTTTTAAAAAACTGATCATATCACTGGTTCTATCTTAGATTCTCAAAATATAATAATGCGATGAACTTACAGCAGCATCGGTAACACACTTCTATACGAATATTTTCCAAAGATTAATGAATATTTTAAAATAATATATAATGCTGCAACACTACTATTTGGTAGATGGCAACGTTTCCTTGAAAATTTTGCTTCGAATCAAATTTAATACCATTACAATTACTTCAAGCCCAACCCCTATTCTCTTGTCAAAAGACCACGTCTTGATTTTGCTTAACGACCATAAGTCTATCAAACCACATCGCAGACAATTCTGAACGATAAAATAATCTGATTTTACATAAAATATAATAACAGCATACTTTATTACCAATTATATTAAAATATTTATAGACTAGGCGGTACACAAGTAAGTTGCTATACCTAAATGCCACGAGCTCACAATATAATAATTTGCTCACAACGATAACAACATGTTTATTTTTTAATTTTTATTATAAGCACACATAAGATTTTTACAGAAATCGTGTATACTTTCAACCATGACTTGATGTGTTTTTTTTTTTTTTTAGGTAGGTACACGCCTCTTCACGAAGCTCTATCATAAGCGCTATTACTACTATTTATTATCATTGTATTTTAATTGGATACCTCGTAGCCAAGGTAATGACTAATAAGTCATACAAAGAAAGCTTTACGAGCTACACTGTGACTAAAAAATAAAAATCACAAAATTATTTTTTGCTGTATAATAGTAGGTTTATTCGAGTTGGTACCTA